ACCAAAATGGAACTTCTTCGTCGAAAAATAGTTCTCTTTAATAGCCTCTCTGAATTCATTTTCAAAAAGTGGCCTACAAATCCATATTGGTGTAAAACAGACCTGCATAAAGCACACACACCAGTTTGTATGTCAGTAATAACATACACTCGCAAGATCATGCGACTTTTCACAACAAAGAAACCAAGCAGCACTTTATTCAACAGACCTGTGCTGAGAATCGCTTCCCAGAAGAATTAATTGCATGGGGCGCAATATTCATTCCACCATCAGAAGTGGCCCGGTAAACACCGAAAAGCTGTCGTTTCTCAAATTCAAACAAGAATAAAACCATTCCTACTTTAACCTGCTTAACAAAACTAGCCATGGAAGATGGAAGACCAAAAACTTTCCGTTTAAAGCACTCCCTCTTCGTTGCAATATTTGACATGAAGATTGCACCAAATTCAGGTACATCTCCACCAATATCATTCTCCTCCCATTTGTACTCCATGGGAAAGTCTTCTGTTTGATCAAATAATAACAACTAGTATAACAACCAAAGTACACATGCCACTAAATTCAGATGGGGAAATGGGAAATGTTCAAATACACTACAAATAGAAACGCTCGAAAGAAAAACTTGCAGCTTAACATTCAATTAAGAGTGAATGTCCTACTCCTAAAACAGGATAACGTAAAATATAAGCAACTAAAACTTCACCACCTATTTAGTTTTCCAACCGAAAATACCCTGGTATCAAATTAACAGGCACTGTTAAGTTACAAGACGACATCCACTTTATATCTACAATTATAAAAATTTGACCACTCCCAGCCAACAATCCCCTAGTACTAGATTAACTGGTGACATTAAATTACAACAAGACACCCGCTTTTTATCCCTCCAATTTGACCACTTTCAACCAAAAAAACCCCCACTTAATTAAGAGGCAACACTAAAGTACAAGACGACATGCGCTTTTTTTGTCCCTCCAATCCATTACAACTGTATAAAATTGACCACTTTCTCAAATCTTCAGTTAAAAGGTATCAAAATCATACATTTGCACTAAAATACAAATTTATCATGCGAAAAAACCATGGATCAAATTAATTAAACTCTTATCACAGGGAGACAAAAATTAAATTTTTAGTTCTACCAAGGCATATGTTATCATAATTAAAAACAAAAGAAAAAACCTAATTCACCCAATACTCTGAAGAAAGATGCTCCTAATTAACATAAAGAAACTGACAAAAACCTTGTCGTAAAAAAAAAAGCACAAAAAGTTAAAATAACAAAAATAATGATTACGCAAAAAATGTTAAAAAAAAAAAAGAAGGGCTGGTATGGATTATTTACCGGTGACCGAGAATTCACAGTTCGCTGATCAGTAGCACAACTTCAGTGAATAAGCACAAAAACAAACAAAATTAAGAGTAAAAAAATAAATAAGTAAATAAATAAAGATTATTCACAATTCAAATCAGCTAGTATAACAGTACCAATCGGAACACAGAAACAATTTTAGGTTTTGATGAACAAAAAAAAAAAATAGATCTCGATTCGTGCTGGAAAATAAAAGGAACAAACCAAATTAAACAGTAAAAAAAACCCACCACAAAATCTGTAGAACTTCGCCTATTCAAAACCTACATAAACACATACACATCTACAATTATTTATCTACCATAGCAACTATTAATAAGTACAATAAAGAGAGAAAAAAAAAAGACTGAGAGAGAGAGGAAAAGTTCTAGAGAGAGAAAAGGTTTTACCGATAGATGAAGCTGTTGAATTTGTTTTCCCGATGCTGTAATAGCTCTATACATATATTTTGTTGGTTTCAGGTTGGTTTAAATAAATATATACATCAGATAAAAAAAAATGCAATTGAAAACGTACTTAAAATATTTTAAAACATATTTTTAATAATAAAAGTTTTGTGCTCTATTTTTTTTAAGTTATAAAAAATTTATTTGTTTTATCCCCTTTTTTTTATATGAGTGGAAGGTCTCGAACATGAATATCTCATGCACACTTTCAAATAAAATTTTCTTTTTTTTTTTGCTTGTATTTTTTTATATAACTAGGAGGTTTCGAAACTGAAATTTCTCATTTATCTTCAATAATTTTTTTTTTCCGAGATCTTGCATCCGACACCTCTATCACTTAAAAGTTTCCACTTACACTCTTCAATAAATTTTTTCCTTTTTTTTGCTTGTATTTTTTTTTTTTTTTGTGAATAGGAGGTCTCGAATCCGACACATCTATCACTTATACTCTAGAATAAATTTTTTCGTTTCTTTGCATTTTTTTTCGAGTGGAAAGTCTCGAATCCGACACAGCTATTACTTAGTGTGATGTACTGTCAAATATATTCAACAATTCAATAATTATAGATTCAGATTTCAAATTTCAGTTTTATTAAGTGAACCCATACACTTCCTCCTCCCGTATTACTCAATCTATTCCTTTCCCGATTCTCCCTGCTTGTGTTCGTTTTAAATTTTTTGAAATATGAAAATCGTTATGGGTGCCAATTTTGTTATCTTTTGTGTATCCTCCCATAAGAACCAAACCAGATAGAGTTTTGAATTTTTATTCAAAGTGGAAATTGTTATGGTTAAAAAGATTGCACAAATACAATTCTGCGAGACTTTAAAATCTTTTAAGTAGAAGATTGAGGGCAGAATATATGCCGTCTGTGTGTTAAACTTTAGAATATATTCCCTATCACTCTATATATTATTAAGCAGTTCTCCCTTTTTATTTTTTTTTAAAAATGATATTCAACACAATAACTTCCTCCAACCTTTAACCAACTAATGTATACAATAATATTACAACTTTCAAATTAAGTACAAATATTGTGCCAAAACTTGTATGTTGTCCTTATCCATTTTATTGGTGTTTTATTTAGTCAGCTAGAAAAAAGAACCCCTTAATTAACTAATATTACTGAGTGGAAAATTCAATTTTCAGATGTGAACAAGTAAAGAAAATGCTTATGGGAAAGTAAAGTGCAAGAAAGTGAGGTAAAAGAAAATGAAAATCATTTTCTGGCTTATGTTTAGTTATGAAGAAAAATTTTGAGGGAAAATGGGAAGTTAGAGATAGTTATTAAAAATTTTGTTTTTAATTAACTTATTTTCCTTGTAAATTCCACATATTTTGTATGACATAAAATGGAAGAAAGTGAAGAAAAGTGCAAGCAAATTTGTCAACTATTTCTAGCGTCTATATGTTAGTAACCTCAAGTAAACAAAAAAATTATCCCTTTCAACTACTACTTGATAATCACAATGAAATTTAGAGAATTAATGAATTTTTTTGAACATCATAAAAAAAATTCGGGGAAGCAGCATTAACATTATGAAAGCGTCAATATCGGTTCAAAATTTTTATCATTTAAAAAACCTTTTTTCTTTTAGAATGGTAAAATCCACCTTTTCATTTTGGTCTGAAATGGTAAAATTTACATAGAAAAACAAAACAAAGCCTATTGGAATAGATTAGCGGACATAAGCTCTTTGACGTAGAGCAATGTTTGCCGTTGATCGTTTTGAGGATTATGTTAGGCCCTGTTTGATAATTCGATTCGACACTTAAATTTAATAGGTTCAGATCTTAATATATTTAGACACGTTTGATAACAAAAAATAAAATAAAATATATCTGAATTAATTAAGTGGTATTGAATTTTCTAAGCATGACTTGCTCCAAAAAATAAAGTGATAAGTTATTCACTTATTATTTAATGTGATATACACTCAAATGTATCAGATTTAGTACTTAAAAATTCAATCACTGAACGGATTCAAACTTCAGATTACTTGAGTTTGTAGACTCCAATTTCATCAAATGCATCCTTAGTTTAATTATTGTAAATGTGATTGCGAAATATCTATGAAAATAAGTTCAATCAGAATAATTGGAGAAAAAGTTTTTTTTACTAGTGGAATACACATATCATTAAACTTACAATAACATACACATGCACATTTGCAAAAACTTGTGAGTACTAATTGATTAACTACAACTTAAATTCATAAAATTTACAACCTAACTATATATACTCACATTTAAAATAAAATACCCACTTTGAAACTGTGCTAACACAAATGTATTAAAAAACTATGCTCAAAATTATTACGAAAGTTGCTCGAATGGTTTTAGCAATAATTTTGAAATATGTAGCAAGGGAGGAGTGTGATTTAAGTTTTCTGACACATGCAACTTCACATTCTAATTGGAAATTTATACCAAGAAATAGCTTTCATGAAATTTAAGTGTGTTTCGCTAGGAGCCTAAAAACTTAAAATTTGATTAAATTTGTATAGAGTTCTCGTGCATTAAACTGTGAGATCCATTGAAGATTTTCTGCAATTAAAATTTTCCACGTGGAGCATCCTTTAATTTGGTGGTCTTCTTAAAGTTGTGCTAATGAACACCGGAGAAAATAGAAAAAGAAAAAAAAATCCGACCACTAGACTTGGTAAATTATACCGCCTATTCTTTTTTTGTCAATTCAATAATATAAACATTGGATTTTTGTCATTATAAACATTAATTCTAACATGTTTGGCACTTGAGTTTTTTGCCAAGTTTGTCTGCTACAAATTTTTTAAAAACTTTATAGTTACAGTAATCTCAAAAAACTTTTCAAAAATTTTAAACTATACACTTCAAAATATTCAAAAAAAACATCCTTCAAAATTTTTTTTAAAAACTTCTACAGTAAAATTTTAGACAAACATCCAAAAAACTCACAGGAATTCTTGTGCCGTAGTCAATGGTCAAGGGCGGGGTTAAGTAGGGAAAATACGGCAATTAGGTAGATAATTATAAAAACAATAATAAAAAAAATAATAGTGAACCTGTGTCATGGATCGGCGGCTGGAAATAATCACATTTATTACATTCGCGAAACTTCCCTGTCATGGCAGTCTTACCTCGAATAGAAAAGACAAGAAAAGAAAGCCAAAAAAAAAAAAAAGAATCCTTCGCGGACCACTTTTGCAACCACTTGTAATTCTATACAATAAAACATAGGGGAAATTGACAGTGGGAGTAGGAAGATTTAAAATTTACAAATAGGATGAAACTTTTGGTCAAGTTTAAATGAGGTTTAGATTATTGTTCAATGATTAAAACATAAACCATTCCTTAACGGTCCAATAATAGCCTTCCTCGTTGCTTTGGCTATGTTGTGGCAGCCAAGTTATAGACAACCAAGTCTTAATTATATTCAATGCGCCTGCAAAGATTGAACATTAAAAACGTTCAGAATTCAGACAGCACAAGTCATAAGGCTCTAACAACATTCAGAATTCAGACTCAGGAATCATATGCATGTACAAACTAAACTACGAGCTTCTATGATTTAGAGGAGGTTCAAATAAGTGAGAGTTTGGATGTGAACGTTCGTGCAAAAGGATTAGAATGTACTCATGTTCCAGGAAAGACTGCTAGCAGCACACTGCCAAACAGGTAAGCCTGATTTCATGGAGACAAAATGTAATGCTAGTTCCACAAATGATACAGCCCGAAGTACAATAGCTAAAACATTTCTGCACTTTCTCACAATCCTTGTCACCTACTGCAAACATAACCCTTCTCTACCCTACAAAGAAACAGACTAAGGAAAGCTGCATTAGAACTTCCAATGCAAAGCGACGTACAGATAAAGAAGAAACTCCCAATTGCCAAGCTTCTTTTGAAGCCAAATAGTGCAATTATCTACACATTTCATCGTTCTCTGGGTTTTCCAACAATGAAGCACCCCATTAGCAGCTGCTTGAGGTGCAGAAAGGATGTCTCGTATGTTGGACTGCCACAGATGACGTGAGCTCCAAACCAAGATGCCTCATGAGAAGGTTCAAAATCACCATTCCGGCGCTCACCAGTTGTCATCCATCACTACAAAGAATACCAGGAAATTAAATTCTGTATATGATTTGGATGACCGAAACAAGCATCTCAGAATTTCAACCATGAAGCTACAAAGCTACAAAGATAGGTACTATAACAACTATGAAAACAGAATTTCGGGATGTTTTGACAATATCAGAACATCAATGGCAAAGGCAAAGAAGGATTACCCAAATTCAACTGGTTGAGCCACTTTTAACTATCCTTTACAAGGGACGAGAAGCAAATCCCCTATAAACCATCTTCTCCACCAGCTCCTCATGCATCTTCATCTGGCCAGACTTCCTAAGCTGTTCCAAGACCATTTGGTAAACTTGCTGACTTGGTTTTAGATACTTCTGCTCTATCATCTCTCTAAAATACTTGTATGCATTATTCCAATGTCCCATTTTGCAGTACATTGAAATCAAAATTTTGTAAGTGTTCACGTTAGGCTCAACTTCACTCTCATCCATTTCCTTCTTAAGCTTGATAATCATGTCTGTAGATTTTGAATCAGCAAACATCTGCATCAGAATGTTATATGTCACAGTATTAGTTTGACACTTTAATTCCTTCATCCTTGCAAACAACCGCTGAGCAGCATTGACATCCCCCGACTTGGCAATGCACCTAAAAATCGGGTTAAAACTATGAACATTAGGTTCACACCCTTTATAAACCATCGAATTTAACACTTTAATCGCATCCTCGCGATTCCCATCCCTACAATGAGTCTCTATCAAAAAATTGTAAGTTATCACATCCGGCACACAAGATAGCCTCTTCATCTGATTATAAACTTGCAACACCTTCTCAGTCCTCCCTGCTTTCACATGTACTCGCATAAGATTGTTAAAAGTGATCGCATTTGGCTCACATCCAACATCAATCATCTCAGCAAAAACATCATGGGCACGCGTAATTTGCCCACACCTACATAAACCATCGATAACAATACTATAAGTATACACATTGGGTTGAATCCCAGCTGCCTTCATTTCACCAAAAACCCTCTCAGCCTCAGACATGTTGCCAGCCCTGCACCACCCGTGCACTAAGCTAGTATACACTACCACATCAGCCTCAAACCTATCTTTCAAACTATCAAAAAATGACTGAGCTTCAACAGCCCTTCTCTTCTTACAGAGAACACTAATCACCTTCGAAAACGCATTCCTATCGGGCTTACAATCATAATCCTCCATCCGATTAAAGGCATGCACAGCCTCATTAGCCAAGCCAGCACGAACATACCGGCGAATCAAAATCGAAAAAGTTTCAATTGGGATTTCAACATTTTTACTCCTCATCAAATTAATCAAATGCCAAGCGACGTCAAATTGGCGTACCTTTCCGGCCAGGTCAATCATCTCGTTATAAGGCTCATGGGAAATGAGGGTTTCGGAACGGGAAATGGCCCAGTTGAAGAACGCCAAGGTCTGAGAAAAGGGTATGCCGTGACGAACGGATCTACATTTCTCGATTACGTGAACAATGACGGCCGGAGAGAGTGAGTGGACGGGGGAGATTTTGGATAAATCGAAGGAGAGAGTTGGGAGAGTGAGATCAGGGTTTATGGGGTTCGGGGAATTGGGATTAGGGTTTAAGGTAGGGTTTTTGCGATGGTGGTTTTTGATTAAAGAGTGGAGCTTTTCCGCAACAAGGGATTCTGCTGGTGATAAGGATGAAGTAACGGTGGTGGGTTTGGAGGAGGAAGAGGTGGTGGTGGAGGAATCGTTGTCGTCTTCGACGGCGTCGTTTAGGAAGTCTACTGCTGGAGTTGAAGTCGAAAATGAAGATGAGAAAGCGATGAAGCGGAGATTGGGAAGAGAAAGGCGACTGTGTAGACGGAGGCTTGATTTTCCGATCTCCATTGGCGGCGGCTACTCGGAACACCCTGCTGGGTTGTTGGGCTCTTTTCCGGTGAGAACAGAACAAAAGCGAAGAAAATGCCTGATAAGGAAGAGGGAATGGAAAAGATAATTGCTCTCTTTCGCCCTTTCTTTTGTGGATGTTTCGATTTTGTCTCCCATCTTCTAATTTTGTGAGTTTTCGCCCCAACAAAATTTAATACTATAGTTAAGATATGTTAAGAGAAACTATTCATGTGGTGTCTCAATTCTACTCGCAATTCTGTCAATTACGTCGGAGAGATTTGTCGAATGGCTTATATCTAGCATCCACCAAACAAGAAATATCTACTTTCCACAAAATGCTAAATTCCTTCCTTATTTGATGGAATTCATAACAAAGTATCATGAGATAATATCACATAACGTATTTTCACCGTGCAATATCTCGTTGGTTTAATTCATTTTCTTTTTTAAAAATTTAGGTACTTGGTAGAATGATACTAAACTTTGATGGATACTAGAAAGAATGGCATTTGAAGGAAAAAACCAGATTGAGACACTGCTGCCCACCAAATTGTGGCAACTTTGGCCCAAAAAACAAATGTAGCAACTTTGATTTGCCCAGTCATAGTGTTTTGTTTTATTATTGTTTTTAGTGCTAATGTTAGCATTAGTGCGCTGCATAAATCAACTTTGATTTTTATAATGAGGGGATAGATACATCAGATGAAAGGGAAGATTGGATAAGATGGGAATCATAAATTATCTCGTTGAAATAATAAGTAAAGAAAGTTCTTTTTTTTTGTGGGGAAGAAAGTAATAAATATCAACAGACCCAACACTCCGAATTGTGTTAAATATCTCTCTTGCTAAAATCCAATGCTGCCATGATGGGGAAAGAACGTCTGCATGTGCACTAGATATTTCAGAGATGCACTTTCTTTTATCCAAATGCCAACTTCAATTTCGGCTAAAAGCCCGCTTCAAATTCATTGGATTTAGCTCCACTGCAATCCATGTAAGCCTCATCATCTTCAACAGTCTACTCTTTTCTTATTTCATTCAAGTTGTCTTGCATTCTTGATTCTTGAATTTTGATTTCCCATCCATTTTCTGTGCACTCTACCATTGTCTTACTTGTGTTACTAGTTAAACGATTCCAGAATTCTCCTTCTTTGAACTGATTTACAATATTATTCTGCATTGCCTTCCGAAATGTGCTTTTGCTAGTGAATTAATTTACTTGATTGTGTCGCACTGAAACAGAAAATAGGCCCCCTTAATTTGGTTTTGGAGTTTGCAAGATATATAGGTGTCATTAAGCACTTGAAACTTTGGCAGAGCGCTTGATGCTAAAACTGGCTATTGGATTCTTTCTTCCAAGCTAAAGGTTGCTTCAGGTATCTGAAAATGGATGACAGTTATGGGAAGTAACAGATGTCAAAGACCTTGTATGTTAAAGATTTGACTGCATATGAACCTGATTTTTGGTGGGAAGATTGGTTACATTTTACCTAAAGTGTTTGAAAGAATGAATTAGGGGCAAATATTAGTAGTTGTGGAGGATCTGCAGTATTAAAGCAGTGCATTTATCTTGCTTTGATACATGGGGGAACGAATTTGCCTTGCGTCCGACAAAACTGCTTGGGAACGACAGAGCCATACCCAATTGGGAGAGTTCCTAATTCCCCTGATCTTTTCATTTTGATGTAACATGAAATATGCGTTAAATTTGTGGTGATAATCTTATCTTGATTGATTCTTTGTTCTGTATCATACAGCTTGAGGGCTGAGGCGACTAAAGTAGGTAATACCTTAAGAAAGTGGGAATAACTGTTTTTATCCTACATTTTGTAGGCTGTCCATCAAGTGGCCAGTGAATTATATATCTAGTGAACCAAGATGTTGCAAAACTGGAGTTACATGTACAGCTACTACTACCACCGAGGAACCTGTTGAGAAGTTGAAGCCGGACAGCCTTTTCATTGACAAGCGCGGCAAATTGAGAAGTTTTAATCGCAAAAGGGTTTCTAGACAAAAAGGTAAAGAAAAATCCATATTTGTTCTTTACACATATATCATGAATTCTTCTGGACTAATGCTGGGATCATCACCTCTGGACAGGGGGCTCTCTAAGGGGCAAAGGATGGCAATATGGGTCTGGTTTTGTTGATGGGATATTTCCAGTGTTGAGTCCCATTGCTCAGAAGGTTTTAAATTATGTACGAAAGGAAGTGGATGTACATAGAGTTTGGACTTCTTTAGACACTCTTCCTCATTCTAATAATACATGGGATGACCTAATCAATGTAGCTGTTCAACTTTGGCTTAATAAACAATGGGATCCAATTATACAGGTTGCACCTTCATACTTCTCTTCTTTTTCTAGTTACTTTTTGGTGTGTAGTTGATGGTATGTCAGTTATTCAACTTCCTTTTGTGGTGAAAAAATTGCAAAACAAGGATAGAGATTTACTTTTGCACATGCATTAGCCAATACAAGAAAAAAGCCTTTGAGTTTTATTTAGGTGATGATCCCTGCATATTTGACATTGAAGTGCAGATAATTCTTTTCATCTTTTTCCTCCTTTACCATTTATCTATAGATGGGCATGTTCTAGAAGATACCCCCTTTAACACTTCTGCATAAGGAACTTAAAGCAGAATTACAGATGTGAACTGAGGGAAACGAAATTTCGGATAGCAAACTGGGAATTTGATGCTGTGTTGATCCAAAGCAAAACATAAACAGTCATAAAGGACCACTAGGATATCAGCTGAGACTTCACCATGGCTGCAGTGGACCTCATGTGACACACTTGAGTTGTCAAATGACCCGAACATGTTTAAAACCATCATAGTATGAATTTTGAGTGTGGGCTAAATCTGTTTTGTCAATCTTCTGTAACATATCCTGTTTAATTGTGAACATTGACTTGGTGCGTTAAGGCATCTTTAGTCTTGTTGCTGCATTAAAAGTGCTGTCAAAACTTGTTCTGCAATTGAATTCTGATATTCTTTGAGCTACTAATACAGAAAGGTCCTAATTTCCTTTTGGTGCTAACTCTTTTTGTACAAATATAAACTTGTTTTCACCTGTGTACATGCCCGCATGATTGAAAGTTCTCCAATCAATTCAAGACACCAACAAGTTATGTTATGGAGTGCAACTTTAATAGGCATGAATTAATCAATAGGCCTCTTACAATGACAGCAAATATGCCAGGAATTTTATGCAACGGACAATACTTATTAGGAATTTGGTAAAGATGTATACTAGAAATATTCATTGTCCAGAGCTGCTGATGATTTCTGACCCATAGGAAAAGAACGAACTGGTGGAGGACAATCTCAATGCATTCACATTTACACAAACTTTGACTGTCTATAAATGGATGATAGGTTAGTTATCAAGGTTTGTCAACACATGAATATCTTATTCGGTTGGACATCTCAGAAAGCTAAAAAATGGAAAATGTAGAAACTTTTAAATGTTTAGAACACATGAGATTGCTTGAAATGAAATAATTTCCTGCCATTGACGGCCATACAAGTTAATTTGCATTAGAAGTGAATAAGTTCATTTTAGCGATGCCCTTATTGTTAATTGATTTCAATAATTTAATTGCTTTCCTGACATGGTTATACCAACTGATCTTTTTGTTCACCACCCCAGGTGTGCGAATGGATATTGTACAGGAGCTCTTTCCAGCCAGATATCATTTGCTACAATTTGCTTATAGATGCTTATGGGCAGAAATCACTTATTAAGAAGGCAGAATCCATATATGTAGAACTCCTTGAAGCTCACTGCATTCCTACAGAAGATACTTATGCTCTTCTTACAAAAGCTTACTGCACATCTGGCCAGCTAGAAAAGGCTGAAGCCATCTTCACTGAGATGCGACAACATGGCCTTCCCCCAAGTGAGTTAACATTGTCTACAAAGCTTTAAACTTTGTCAGGCCTTGCAAGCTTATTATTCAAATCCCATTTCCTGTCTCAGATCCCCTCATTTCCATACAAACTTTTGCGTCTGTGGTGTCAATCTTTAGTTCTGCATCCGTTCATTCTCCTCTACTTGATCTAGCTACCATGTACTGGACAACTATTCAACAAAAAAAATAAGTTTGGAAGGGATCCATTGGTCCAGCATGGGACTGGATTATGATGATAAATGGTTGGTTTCTTAGGTACAAGGTAGTAATAATAGAAGATCATCGAAAGGCTAGGGATCAAGCTCAATCATTTCCAGAACTCCATGACCCTTTAAATAGCTGTTTTTTGCCCTAAATGGGTTATAGCCGATACTGAAGTGATCTTATAGTGTTTAGAGAGCTTTTCCTGTTTCTTATTAGCTTGTTTCTTCATGCATACTCAACCTCTTGGATATGAGAAATGGAAGCATCAATAATTTATGATTGGAGAACAGGAGTTGTCTAACTGATGATTTTGCATGCCTGTATTTATCCACAAAACCATCTCATGATTGCAGTGAAATATACTTGCCTAGACATTTCTTAGATGGTGTTAATTGACTTCTTAACAATTGAGTATGGTTGTCCTTTTCTCTAAACTTTTTTCTGGTACTGGCACTTGAAAGAGACTCATCAGAATGCTACCTTCTTTAACAATCTGCAGGTACAGTAGTATATAATGCTTATATTGATGGTTTGATGAAACTAAGAAATGCACCAAAAGCTCTTGAGATCTTTCACAGGATGGAGAGAGATCACTGCCAACCATCTACAGACACTTATACAATGCTGATCAACTTATATGGGAAGGTGAAATCTAATACTTGGTTTGTCATGCCTCTAGATCCATCATCTTTTGGGGTCATACCTCTCGATGCCATCATCTTTTGGGAATTTAAATCAAGCTTTTCCACTTTGTCAGGCTTAATTTGTTCCACCACTAGGGGAATTAATTCAGCAGAGAAAAAATTTCTAAGATTTCATACATGTAAATTGAAGTAGTCAGACAAGGACAATCCATCTACTGCTGGTAAGTAGCAAGATAATCCAAATTAGAAGATGCAATGCATGTCTATTGGAAGAGAGATGCCAATTAATGAGGAATTTGTTTA